ATAATATAATAATTAATATAATTAATATGCTACAGTATAATATAGGACGTATATTGGTATATATATAACATTAATTCCCTTTTACTGACACGTTCGTACACACCAGCTGCGAAAATTACATGAGTGTGCCGGTGCATGTCTTCCGAACTACCTACTCTTCTGCAACCCGATGGTAGAATTGTCGGATCTCAGTGTGCTCTCAAGTCACCTACAGGCTGTTGAAACAAAAGGCAACATCATACGATTGTTGCGCCATCACCGCTGGTGAGGTATAGGAGCTCGTCAGGTTTTTAGCAGCGTTTGTCAGGAATTAAAGATTTGATTCCGGTGTTTTTTATAAAAAGAACTTGCATCTAGGCTCGAAGAAATCAACTTCATCCGTCACTCACTTGTTTCAAAACAATGGCATATCGATGAAGTGCTTCAGCTTGGTCTGCCGCATGTATGAGTTTCATTGGAACAGCGTAACCAAGACCCACAAGCAGACGGACCTCTCGCTGCAATTGAACCAAAGCATCCGGAAATCCCACCTCCAAGAACCCGTTTGCTGTAGACAAATTAAGGATAGGACGCGAAGGGTCAAAACTCAGTGAACCAGGACCACCTTGCCCGTCCAACCGAGCCAAGTTGCAGCGCGACCAACTTTCAAACTGCTCTCGTCTCCAGCAGGACATTTCTTCGATAAGCGAGGTGACTTCCTGAAAGTGGGGCGATACAGATTTAACGCCACACGGAGTTGAGGAGAGCGATGCACTAAGTTGGTTAGCTTTTAGGAAAATATGATAGCTGATTCAAAATACCAACACAAAGATTACTAAAAAATGACACATGTGGTTGGAAACTGAGTTCAGCTGTGTAACCCCCCACAGTTTGGTCTAGCGGTGCGACATTTGCACGAATATCTGCGTGATGTGCCTGAACCGTGTAGAACTGAGCTTCCACTTATCTTAACGCTTCACAACTTCGTCTTGTATGAAACATCACGGTGAATTTGCTATTTACCAAGGGGTATATCAGAAATTGACGTGACTTACGTCGTAAGGTTGACGTTTGATAAAAATAGATTTTGAGCTTTAGAAGTTCCATGGCTGCAAAATTTACCTTTCACAGCTAACGTTCTGTGAATGTCTAAGGTCTTTTTTTAAATAGTTCAACTATATTAGCGCGCGCTCAGCCCACATGAATGGGTAATGAGTTCCCAAAAGATCCAAGGGGACATTTCGTACGATCTGATCACAGTTCTGCATTCCAATGCAGAACTGTAATCAATCCTTCTTCTTCGTGCTTGGCACTGAAAAACAAATCCTAAAAAAATGTCTTCCTGTCATTTGGCGTGTATGTGGTAAACACCATAGGAGCTGACCAGTTAGAAAGGTTTGTAGTAAACTTTGCATACTTGTTTATATGCCGGATATCTTGCCAGGTCAGATAGAAGACACTCCACTAATTTCAAATCTTCCTTCGCTCTCGACTCCAACTGACCAGCCCACAGCATTCGGTTGACTTGTTCGGGAATGTTTTTTGCGGTCACGAGGCCGGTGGAGCGCCCGATAGATTGTCCAGTGACTGTTGTTTTATCCGTGTTTGACCCCGAGCCAATCAGGAATTCTTCACGGAACTTAAAGAATAGGGATGGGACAACAGGAAAGGTAGAATTGAAAAAAACAGATTTTCGGGAACAGCAATTCTTGGTCATCAATAGCAGTAAATGGCCTGAAGGGGGCTTGAAATAAATCAACAAACAAACTTCTAGAGTTCGTAGCCATTTATCTGTGGCGTGTTATCATCATCATCATCATCATCATCATCATCATCATCGTCATCATCATCATCATCGTCATCATCATGATCATCACTATCAACGTTAGCAGCAACAGGCCAGTAGGATACACGTAGTGCATGCCACATCATTCTAACCCGGCGCGCTTAATCTGCTGCCCCAGAGAGTACTTTTCGTTAGCGCGCACTCACTTACGCGCAACTTAGCCGTGTACTCGCTGGGGGCAGCTAACTCTCACCACACTACGAAAATGGCGGTGATGAAACATATGAAGACCGTTGAAATCTTCTGATAGGGAATAAGATAGAGTTTCGCAGCCACAAAGTAACATTTGTCTTGTGACAGGGATGCTTAGCTCTAGCGAAATTTCTTCCTGACACTGGAATCGATACAATATGGTGGACGCTGTCTGCGCTCTGATACTCCGCAAATCAGCTAGATCTGTTGTAGTACAATCAGGTCCTACACAGTTGTCGAGATGTGCAAACTGATCTACCGACCCAAATTTTTCATTCTGGCTCATTCTACACACAAAAAGACGAAAATTCCCTGAATAGGACTTTGTACTTCAAAGGTGCCAGATGCATGCCTAAGCACGGATCCAATACCCCATTTAAAGTGTTTTATACGAACAAGTAGCCAGAAAACAGCAAAACGATACCGCTCGTATAACTTCAGACTTGATTTTGTTATCTGGATTCATAATCTATTAGAGTACATACTCATTAATACCATCGACGACACAACTGAAAGAACTGAAAAAAAGGAGAATGGGCATTTCCGATGAGCTCCACTGGTTGTAGAAAACTGTTCTAGGGTTTACTGTATAACTAATCTTACAGGAGGTAAGGAGGCAATGGTGTGGCATCTTCCCTCCTTCAGTTGGCTTATTTGTGCCATTCCTCTTCTTCTGTTTGCTGTACGCAGGGTTTCGTGGCTCTCCAATAAGTGAAACCACAGTGAAAATGCTCTGGTTTCTACATCCAGATTTTCACTGGACTACCACAGCAAAGAATTTCCGCTAGAAACCCAACTGGTACACCGAGTGCGATTCATGGTCACCAGCGGCAAGCAACACTAATGACCCTGAATAATACTCACACGGGAGGTACCCATTATAAATTACATTCGATGATATTTCCCAGAAGAATATAAAAATGAATATCACAAACGTAAAGGCAACCCTTGTCAAACGCCCAGACTGATCTTTTCGTCTTTGCTTACTTAGACTCACCAATGAGTAGCAAATATACTTATTTTCACTATGGCTAGTGAGCGGAATGTTTTGAACAATGAGGTATATTTCGTGAGACCTTGCTAAGAGCTAGTGAGTATTTACAGCACCTTACTGTGATATAGATTAACCCCCACGCCCAAGAAAGTATACACAGTTGCCACCTTTGACTAGTGTACTTTCAAAGAAGTGCAAAATAATTCCAGCCCAATCAACAACCGGAGGAATTGAGCGAAATCGCCTATTCATGGGAAAAACACCCACAACAGAAGAGAAGGTGAGCAGATCGGTAAAAACAGAAGGACCATTGCGACAACCTATTGCGCTCGATCGTTTGGATCGATGTGACGTCGCGAGAGGGCGCATCGTTCCTCATCACCTGTGTTGTCGGATGAGCAGATCGGATACTTTCAATATGTAACGAGTATTAGTCAGGTGCTCCACCGACAATTCAATAAATTCCTTGTGGATATACTAACTGGCTTCCATGATACCTTCTTTGGAAAATCGATTTTGGCTTGAATTTACAAAGTGACTCTTCTAGTGTTTGCAATTTCTGTGTGATTGTACAAATTGCCGTTTTCCAAAAGGGTTCCCACCTATAGTGGAGGGTAACTCTAGGAAACTTCCGAATGTAATGTCCTCATTACAACTAGTTTACGTCACACTGCTGCATTCGTTAGGTTGGACTTATCATATGTGACATCAACGCGCTCGATTCACTAAACTAACGATGATAATTTTGGCAGGAAAGTCAATGTTGTTTTGATTACCTCCTTCACAGAAGCTTCCAGATAGCCCAGAAGTGTCTCGCGCTCAGACTGAAGGGCTGCAGAGACCCGTGAACGTCGGATCAAATCCTGGTACTTGTGGAATTCGTGGAATATGAGATTCACGTTGTTCTTGTCAGCAAGTACTGTATTTGAGTGAAAACGGAGAAGTTACTGTTGTGACTGAAATTATCCATACATGCGTCCACCAGAAACCTACAGAACAAGTAACTTCTCTAACTACACCAACTTTTTGTGATAAGTGAACGTGTTGGGTGAAGAAAATATCAAGGCTGAGATCCAACCACGTCAGCTAAGCTTAAAGAGAAGAAGGAAAATGCCAAAAACTCACGTCTTAACTGGTTAACTGTATGATGGTTAGCTACATTAGTACATCAGTTACACCGTTGTGATGAATAACAGGAACCTAACTGAAATGAGCTACATGTTGAATTCTACGAGCTGGAGTGGGCAGCTTTTGCCAACCTTCGACACCTATGGCACTGGCGTGACGTGAGCTTTCTGGGAAGAGTTTGCACTGCGGTGGTGCGATCCTTACTGCTCTATGGATAAGAGACGTGCTCCTACGCGCAGGGGAATATGTCAGTGTTTGAACACCGGTATCTCCGCAGCATTGGTCAAGTTTGGTAGGAATATCGGATTAGTAATGCTGAGGTACGCCAGATGGTTTTAGGAACTCTCCCACGGTAGATGAATTACTCACGCTTCATAGGTTGCGATGGTTGGGCATGTGCTCCACATACCAGAATATCTTCTCCCTCACAGAGCTCTTTTCTCCCAGACTTGTACTGAGTGGAAGCGACCGAGAGGTGGACAGTGTATAACTTGGCAACGAAGTACGAAAACACTAACCAGTAAACTTAGTCAGGTGGGCAACTGCCGCCTCCCTGGATGGGGACCCCGGGACCCGAATCACCAATGTTTAATGACAATGACGAAAATGGCCCAATCTCGCAGTCAGTGGTGCTCGTTCATCAAAGCTATCGCCTTCAATGCGTAGCTACCCAGTTTCTGAACAAACAGAACATGCTTTTGCCTCCAAGGCTTGGTTGTATGTTCCACTTTCCCGTTTTTCGGTGTTTGAAACTCTAGCAGCTGGAACCACTGTGCATATGGCACACCGTTTATAGCTGTTAAATTGAATTGAGTCGAAACAATAAGGGCAACACGAGAATAGACCAACTAATTCCGAGCTCTTTCAAAAGGTCCCCGACGACCCATTTTCTTGATGATTTCAGCACGCAGGCTTGGTTATCATGAAGAACGAAGTTCGGCATAACGCAGAGCGTTTGAACCCCTTTGGAGTTTCATGAGATGCGCATTGCGCTCGCGCGTGCAATGCGCAACTACCTACAACTCAAATCATCGGTGAACGAAACTGCGGCAGCTACAACCACTGTACGACGAGTACGCGGCTCTTACAGCTGACAATGATGATGATGATGATGATGATGATGTGCGCATCGTTGGTAAATATCAACAAACATGGAACATCTTTACGGTGTTTCGCGGCTTTTTGACATACTCAGACTTCATTCAATTAAGGAATGAAATCTCCAGTGAAAAGTCTCCAAAACGTCCCATACTATCAACAAAAGTAACTCAGTAACAAAAGCAACTCAGAGGGACGAGTAATTCCATTCGAGAAGTCGTCACGTGACCACGTGATGAGAATTACATGAATGAAGGATCAGTGGCATTATATCCTGTCTGAATGCGAGCTAAGTATACTACTCTTCACCCGTCGTGGTCGAATGATTCAGTTTTCAACCACTGGATGCAGTGAAACATAGTTTTAAAGCATTTTGAAATTGCGTAGTTTACTGATTTTACAGGCAACGAATTGGTGTCTCTGGGTTGGTGAGCCATGCACATAGGTCTATTAACTTGAATAAAATACCACCCACAGCTCCAACATTCAAACCCTGAGCACGATGTCATGAAAGAAGATAAACATGAACACACCTACCATCCCCCGAGGCTCCCGTCAGTAGTTTTGTGCGCAACCGTATGGCTGCCCGCTCTTCTGCCGCGTTAAATTTCACATCAACCAGACTCTTCCCAATCAACCACTGCTCAGCCGTGAGTGGATTGTAGTTTAGTGGATTGGCCAGTTGACGCAATGCTGCGGGGACCCCCGAATTCTCCGTACTAGTATTTTGTGTGAACAGAAACTCGCCCAGTCCAGCCGACATACCGAGCTCCCCAAGTTCCGAATCTGTGAGCAGTCGTCGCAAGTGTTCATATAGTCCACGTATTTGAAGAACCTTTGTAGAAAAATATAGCCTGCGGCACTGAGTTTGATGTGGGTGCCATCAGTAAAGACAAGACGGTACACAGCCAAACCTTATTTTTTCAAGTTTAAAGACGTCAGATCAGTCATCCAGCTCAATTAACCAAGCTAACTGATGTGTGACGATCACTTCTTCTTATAGCTTAATGGATCAGAGTCGGTGAATTTGCACTTTTATCACGAAATCGATGGAGAAAATAGTAATTCCTAAGGGGCGAAAAATTGAGTCTGCTCACGTAAAACAAAAAAATATACGGCTGAATTTTTCTCTGATATAACTTCTTACAGGAGTTGCCACTCCGAGGTATCAGGCTAACTTATAACATCCATGTGATACTTTGTGTTCATCTTGCTCTAGATCATATGGCTGTTGCATTTTGTCATGTGTCTCTTCAGTCATTTTCGGTCTTCACTAACTCGCGGCGTAACCAAATGCTCCACAGTTTCCGGTTCACGGACAAACAGAATTCGCCTAGAAACTCCATTAGTATGCTGTCTGATATAGGTGTCACTTTCAAAGGTGGAAACGAAGGTGGCTGTGAGATAAAACAGTTCATTCATTTGAATTTAAGTCTGGCCGGAAAGAAGGATCATATGTGATGCATTCGTGACACTGTTTTGACACCAGACGAGGGCCGGTTTTCAAGACACTATGGTCTGACTTTGGACGAATCCACAATAACATTTCCTTAGAAATGAACACCAACTGGCCGAGAGATTCGTGAAAGTGCGTCTACATCATTCTTTTTCGGAGAGATTTCTTTCCCTTACCAATCGACCTCTGTGGTTACTACGTTCGAAAAGGGCGACACTGATCATGAGTTATAAGCTTACTAGGGCTCACTGGCAGCGCACATTTTCGGCCGTACTGGAATTAAGCACCGATCATGTGACGCTGGGCAAGCACGTTGTCCCTACACCGCCATCGCACGCTGAAACGCACTCGAATTACTATGTCATGGCAGGTGAATATACTCGTGCACCAAGCCCGACAAATAGCCAGAATTATCACGCAACAATGGGAGAATGGGCGTTTACACAATGATGATTGGGATTCTGGTGTTTAGAAAACTCGAGAAATTACCGCTAGAAATAGTGCCAAGTAACTCTTTCAAGTACAATTGCGAAAGTATAATCTGTGAACATTACCTCATTCAGTCGCGATTTGAACTGGGCCAAGTAGGATAAATCGGGAGGAGAGCCCTCCCATGGATGAGGAGCAAAACGGTGCCAGATTTGTTGAGTAAGCACGTTGCTGCACTTTTGCCACTGCTCGCAAGCTTCAATGCCCAGCTGCAAGCCGCTTTTGACCTTCAAAGAGAGAACAATGTAACTTCGTATACACAGTGAACTTCTCTCTAATTAATCAGCTTACTTCAATGCCTCCACACAAGATGAGTTCATTAGAACTGATAACTGATAAACTTCGGGCTTTGCGACTACCAGCATAAAAAATTAAGTGTTTGTCACTCAAACATCATTACAGTCACCACGATGTGTCATGCAGTCCCGAACACTTTCAGTTCTTACACTTATTGCAAAAAGTTATCATGACCCTGGAAATTATTCCGGATGTTGGTTGTTACAGGATTTTTTAAAGAATTCATGATTTTACCCAAGCAATTTCGTTGTATGAACAGGATAGCTTCATCCTTGATTTTGGTTTGATTTGTCCGTTTGTGGTTTAGGCTGTCATGGCCTCGTCTACCAAAGTCTGCCAATTTGACCGTTAAGTTTTCATACCTAGTTCAATTTAACCACACCTTATGACATCTATAGAGTTGCTTACCGAATGAGGTATGTGAAGCGAATTTTTGTCGGTCTACTGACCCACTGAGTGTACACGTTAACTGAATGCTCGATTTAGATTAATTATTTCGATCAAGGCTTTTTCGCGCATGCGTTTTAGATAGCCATGTTCATCTGACCTTGTTCTTATTGTTCGTGATACAAAAAATGGCTAAATTCAAGCTCGTACATGCTGCTGACAGCAGTAAAACTCATCGTGGTTACTACGTTCGAAAAGGGCGACACTGATCATGAGTTATAAGCTTACTAGGGCTCACTGGCAGCGCACATTTTCGGCCGTACTGGAATTAAGCACCGACTGGTCACTGCGTTCGAAAAGGGCGATACTGATCTTGAGTCATAAGCTTACTAGGGCTCACTGGCAGCGGAAATTTTCGGCCGTACTGGAATTAAGCACCGATCATGTGACGCTGGGCAAGCACGTTGTCCCTACACCGCCATCGCACGCTGAAACGCACTCGAATTACTATGTCATGGCAGGTGAATATACTCGTGCACCAAGCCCGACAAATAGCCAGAATTATCACGCAACAATGGGAGAATGGGCGTTTACACAATGATGATTGGGATTCTGGTGTTTAGAAAACTCGAGAAATTACCGCTAGAAATAGTGCCAAGTAACTCTTTCAAGTACAATTGCGAAAGTATAATCTGTGAACATTACCTCATTCAGTCGCGATTTGAACTGGGCCAAGTAGGATAAATCGGGAGGAGAGCCCTCCCATGGATGAGGAGCAAAACGGTGCCAGATTTGTTGAGTAAGCACGTTGCTGCACTTTTGCCACTGCTCGCAAGCTTCAATGCCCAGCTGCAAGCCGCTTTTGACCTTCAAAGAGAGAACAATGTAACTTCGTATACACAGTGAACTTCTCTCTAATTAATCGGCTTACTTCAATGCCTCCACACAAAATGAGTTCATTAGAACTGATAACTGATAAATTTCGGGCTTTGCGACTACCAGCATAAAAAATTAAGTGTTTGTCACTCAAACATCATTACAGTCACCACGATGTGTCATGCAGTCCCGAACACTTTCAGTTCTTACACTTATTGCAAAAAGTTATCATGACCCTGGAAATTATTCCGGATGTTGGTTGTTACAGGATTTTTTAAAGAATTCATGATTTTACCCAAGCAATTTCGTTGTATGAACAGGATAGCTTCATCCTTGATTTTGGTTTGATTTGTCCGTTTGTGGTTTAGGCTGTCATGGCCTCGTCTACCAAAGTCTGCCAATTTGACCGTTAAGTTTTCATACCTAGTTCAATTTAACCACACCTTATGACATCTATAGAGTTGCTTACCGAATGAGGTATGTGAAGCGAATTTTTGTCGGTCTACTGACCCACTGAGTGTACACGTTAACTGAATGCTCGATTTAGATTAATTATTTCGATCAAGGCTTTTTCGCGCATGCGTTTTAGATAGCCATGTTCATCTGACCTTGTTCTTATTGTTCGTGATACAAAAAATGGCTAAATTCAAGCTCGTACATGCTGCTGACAGCAGTAAAACTCATCGGTGTGTTGGATTATTGAGTATATTGGAGGAGTTGTGTTGAGGAGTTCGCCACCTGCGTTGGGAACCCTGTCAGTTGCTCCATTACTCTGTGGTTTGGGCAGGAGAATGGGGATATACTACTGAGTTGATGAAAAATTTGAGCAGCACTGGATCGAAGTAAAATCACGTCGGTATAGACTCTACTCATAAGTTTGCTGACGGCAACCATATGAGTAGTGTATTACGTCTATACATGTATCGCGATATCTAGATTATCATACCAAGTGAAACATTAGGCAGTCTGATGCGACACATTCAGTTGCTTAAAAACATCACAAGCGAGAGATTCAGTTGGGTTTCATGTGAATTACCAGTCATAACCAAATTGCTATGTAAATGAGTGTATTTCGCTAATAACGTCAGTATCTTCAGAAGCGTAATGGTTAGTCTTATTCATCATAAAAATGTTCTCCTCTAGCTGCAGTCACTGATATCACTGATACTAAATCAGGAAGTGTGGAAGTCCACTGTTCATAACAACAATGGACACTCGTGGGGACAAGAACTTCGATGTCATTAAGTTTCTTTGCAAGAATGAGATGGATAGCAACCTCTCCTCTTTGAATAAAATTTTTTGAAGCCTAAGGAGGAGATAAAAAAAGACAACGAAAAAATATAATCACTCAGCTATGACGGCCCTTCAGTGTCTGACTGACACACCATCCAATAGTGGTACGAGGACACTGACTGGTTGCCCAAGCCTAGATAGGAGCACTCGAGATGCTGGGCTGGGCCTTGAAGCACATACCCTGAGGTCAGTAATTTTATACCCTGCTCACTGATCTACCTCGAGTCCACAAAGATAAAGGAAAACGAAGAATTTGTTTTCTGGAACCTTGAACTTCATTGGACAAACAGTTGTTATCCTAGCCCAGAATGATCTGGTTGTGGATTGGCCACCGGAGAGAAATGTGACCCCAGCCTTTTATGCGTAAACATACCTGACTAAACGGGTGCGTCCACAGTAGGGACACGGGTGTGTTCGATGAGTGGCTTTCCGAAGTGACACCACCTAAATTATACTGTATAACTCGAACCACCCAATATCCCATGGCCTGGATCAGCTCACGCATCCGAGATTCTGGAAACGGCTTTGTGGCTGTTGACTCAAGACATCGCCATGTTTCGTCAAGGACATCGAAGACCACCGGATCCAAAATATTCAGCAATTCTGTTAATGCACTTCCAAGGCCTGCTTGTTCCACTGTCGAAGCCAGATCTTTACTGGAGGACACGACCAACTGTGATGCACTTTCGAAACGCGCGCATTCATTTGCGGCAGGCTCCAGAAGTTTGATAAAGAGCTCTGCACGATCCTTTTCCGAGGACGAATTTCGAGAAGCTTTTTTAGCACGCCTACGCCAGTAGTCGACCTCATCTGATAGGGACAGTACTGGTATAAAACAAACCAGGGACATTGAGAAAAAAATGATTTGAACCGATTTGTCTGAGTGCTTTGATTCATCATTATACAAAAAGCAACAGCTATCGCACACATTGCATCTCCAAATGGCTGCTGCCGGGTGGAAGTCCGTTTTTTAGGGTACTTATATCGGGATTTGTGTTTCTGAATTTAAATATGCGTTATGCTGCCAGAGTTTGCGCTCTCAGCGAAAACGTCGCCAGGAAGTGACGGTGAATAAGAGTCAAAGTAGCTCGCAAAATGTTCACGTCATGGTGACCGTGGGTTGATTTGGATCCTTGAGTGCAAGCTGGTCAGAACACGTATCTATGTAGCTAAGTACTTAATAACCATGAAGCACTCATGAAGGAAATCGGAGCTGTTGGAACTAGATACAGAAAGTGAATACTCTAGCGTCCAAATGACTGATTTCCCAATTAGTTATCCGGTACCTTCCGCTTCGGATGAAACCATGCAGCGCATACACTTAGTTCTCGTCTAAGTGTATAAGAAATATCAAGAGCTCTCAGTTCTAGCCTCTTCTGTAGTTAGTGAGATATAAACACTTGGTAACCCATTAAAATAGGAGATTCAGCTTCTAAAAAGTTCAAAATATGCTGAAGGGATGGAATATGATTGGTTCTGAAAAGCAGTCCACTAGATAAGCCTTGCTGGTATAGTATCAGATGGGTCGGTCACCTGTCGCGGTGATTATCAGTGTTTACCGCTTGCCGCGGGATCACGCGGTAACTGACCCCCATTTGCCAACGTCAAATACCAATCCAAGTTTTAGTGACGAGAAACTGATCCCGCTCAATCCACTTAGTGATTCCACATAAGGAGGAAACCTGTGACAAATTGCTCTACAGTTATATCCAGTCTCTAATATTACCAGCACCAGATCCAAGACATTTGGTATTTATCAAGTCCTGAAAGAGAATCGTGAAAAGTCATGAATATCCACTTGACTTCTTCCAGATAACCAAATGTTCCGAAAATTTCTCTGCGTAGATAAAAACGAGGAATACTTCAAGTTAAAAGTCAGTTTCTCACTCCATGAGAATAATATTTGCTTGGAAACTGCAGCAAAACCGGGATTAGCCAGGTAGTGTATCAGTATATTCTTCATGCTGCTATGCGAATTAGGTAGTGTATACAGTATGCATTTATTCTGCTAGGTTTACTAATTCAAGGAACTAAACACACACTGTTGGGTGGAATACAATATTAACAGCATTGAAGACTAATGATAACTTATTTACATAAAAGAAATTACTAAGTAACCTTGTGAGTAGTCTCTTGTGTGAAAATATATTACGATATCTCGAATGCCGTATCAACTGGAACACGAAGCGTTCTTTGTGAGCACACATGAACGAAACATTCAGTTGAGTCTCCCGTGAAAACCCAGTTGGTATGCAAATGAGTGCATTTGTCGAAATGATAATTTATCTTGTTGGTAGTGAGGAGATTTGGGATTTTTGTGGAGATTTCGTCCTGTAAGTGAAGCCAATCTATGCTGAAAAGCCGAGAAGCACTGTACAGCTGTTTCACCCTTGTTGGGAATCACCAGCAGTGCGCATCTCACGGAACTCTGGAGAGTCTCGAACCCGCGACCTCCCGGCTAGCAGTTTGAACCCTTAACCGTTCGGCCACGAGTGGCTGATCAGCAGTGTGATTAACTCGCATTTAGACAGGATATAGCACCGCTCATCCTTCAATCACGGGATCCACATCACGTGGTCACACATGTTGACTGGCTCCTCGAGCAACGACTTCTCAGATAGAAGTTTCACTCATCGGGTGAAGTTTATTCTTCCACTGAGCTACTTATATCTTGTTGGTAGTGAGGAGATTTGGGATTTATTTATTTATCTCCTGATCCTGATTCATCAACGAGTGGTGACCAAGACATAAGCCCATTGCCAACCACCACGAAGGTTTCACCCTGGTTTTTGTGCGCTGGCGAGAGATGAGTATCGATATTCCATTAGTTATCTGAGCAATCCATGCTATAAACGCTACTCTGATTCCGTCCCCGCCATTCATCAACAGATTCGAATGCCTTGAACCGACTGACACATAGTTAAACTTTATTTCCCTCATTTCCAACGTAGTTCATAAGGCATCAGATTTGCCGCACGTCCTCGCCGTTCTCACATGTATCATCGTCATCATCAGTAGCAGCATTAACTTAGTAATCCACGGCAGTGTTGACTCGGGGACTTCAACTCCCCACGCCCCCAGGACGAATTTAAGAAATCTACAGGATGCCGTTTAGGGGTGTGCATTCTGACTCTAGAGGATTCTTATGTACGAACAATCTCGGTTTAATGCCACCTGGATAACAACCACCAGCTTCAGTTTTTTCAGGTGACCAGTATTTTAAAGATCGTTAGTATTCAACAAGAACATGGGACTGTTAATAAAGCAGCGATCATTTGTTTGTATTTGTGAATATTACTTTTGCGTTTAATTAAAACAGACTAAAATAAAATGAGATTTTCATTAAACGAGGAATTTGCAAAAGGATATTTGGGAAGTGTAACATACTGAAAACATTCCGACGCAAAGGAGTGATGTAGTGTCACGAAGAATACAATGTCAACCAGTACTGGTTGACTGGTAACTTGCATCAGTACTGGTGCGAGTCAAAGACAACCGGCTAACCAGTTTGTTGAGTGGAAGCCGGTTAAATCGTGCGCTGAGTTTGAGTGAAGGAGACAATATGCATTGTATTTTGCCAGGTACTGAGAGTGTGATCAATGAGCTTACCCTATTTTTAACGCGAAAAATTCCTAGTGAAGCTTCTGGTGCTTTGGAATGGCACCTCAATGCAAATGAACCCTTATTTCAAACCAAGCTTGGTAAGCACTGAAAAATTAAAACCGTTTTGTACATTGCCATAACTATTAAATATAATACACTGGCAATGTTGTGGAATGTAGGTAGCTCTGGTGCGCTGCTTGGTTGTTAGTCTGTTCGCCGAAGTTGGCAGTTGGATTGCATCCAAGTTGGATGCATACAACTGAAAGAAAAGAGTCCTGTGATACAGACAATTCTGCGAATGTTATTAACAGTGAAACCTATAAACCGCGAGTAGCTTGTATACTAAGGAAGATTTTTCTTAAGTCTTCCGGCCTACTTCAACACTGTTAGTTAGGTGGTCTCATCAGAACCGACTAATGCTTCTAAGGTATTGATTGTTAAGCAGTGATAGCTTACGCAATCCTCTACTTGCAGAGGTTACGCTTTTGGTCAATGAAGTAGGATGGATCACACCATCGAATTGTGTAACCCACTCTTGATGGACAGACTTACGTCAAGTCGGTGCCGTGTGTATCCAAGGTTGGCAAAAGCTACTATCGATTCCCTGATTTGCAGAGCAAACTCGTCTCCAGCCAATCCATAGAAACTCATACCACCTCCCATGTAAGCAGAACTACTTGACTAGTTGACTGGCTGGTCTGCAAATATAAAGTTTGGGTTTAATCCTACCCAGTCTTTTAGCAGCGCTTTAAACTTGAAGCTTGAGGCGCACACCAAATTTTGCAGAAGAAATGTTTGGAGTATCTAAAACGACTTGAATCTCTGGAACACCTGAAACTAGGAGAACAATATTGTTCTCACCCTTAATGTCCGTGAGAGAACGCTCCGGAAGCAATTCGATCCCCGAGCTTTCAAAGGTAAAAAAAAGAGAATGTCAAGCAGCACATCTATAACGAAGTTAAATGGAATGGTGAGGGAGAGTGGTCTTGCAGTCTTGTGCTGCTTGACGTGACGCACTGAGGTAAAAGGTTGCTATGCACTCTTATACATTCATATAAATTTGCATACCGTGCCATCATCAGGGGCCATTTTTGGTCGCCAAGCACCGTCAAAGTTTCTGACATTTGTCAGGGTTAAAACCAGCTGTCAGATTCAGCTAAATGATCAATATGGAATGCCTAAATGAGTAGTGCTGTTCAAGAACTTGTCTGAAGCTGAAAGTATGGTTGGTGCCTCCTTGATCAAAGTGGGACCCAGCTAGATTCTCAGGGGTTTATTTCTTCCACCAGACATTTAACATGCGCAAAATAATGCCATGGCTACCAGGCTAGTGCCAAGAGGGTTTATGCATAACATTCTTTGACTTTTTGAAGATTGCTTAGCATACGGCTGAACACAATGCTTTTAAATGTGAATAACCGTTTCATCTTCTTTGCAAATTAATTTGCCTACCCATGTCTTCTTTTGGCTGGACGATGGAATCAGATAAAATGCGGCGCCGCTTTGTCTGCAGCAGAAGCCTTCTTCAGCTTTCGGGCATTTGCAGTCCACTAACGTCCTCCCTTCCTTCAAGCCATTGACTATTCGGTTCTTTAGGAATCTTCATGCAACATCGCCGTCGCTGGTTTCTGGGGCGGCTTTTCTGATGGCAACTAGTTCTAATTGGTTGGACAAGATTAATCACAATCACGATCACAATCATCAGCATTATTAGTATCGTCGACAGCATGACATAAGTGCCAACACCGATGCTTTGCTGCTGAAGCAGCCACGACAGACTTTAGTAGACTTGTCCTTATCAGGAACAAAATTGAAGTCTGCCAAGCCTTGTGCTGATAAGACAAATAAACACTATTTACCACAATAACCTTCACTGATCTAAGATAAATTGGGCAACTTTACAGTAAAAACATTACGGTTCACTGGCATCCACTACAGTAAGACGCTTCCATATTTAGAGCTGGGCGTGGTTCCAAAATTTTGGGTACTGAGCATGTTACCAAATAGCTGCAAAATTTTTGTGCAAGAAATTGAACTTATTAAGCAACATTACCATGAATTTTGCTACAACAAAACCAAGAACACCCTAGCTCATATGGTAGCAGGTCTCAAAACGTAAAACACCATTTATCATCTGTACAAACAATTAACCTTAATCAAGTAGCCTCAAATAAAACACCTTATGTATTCTAAAACTCCCAACACATAAATGGCTCAAACTCAGGGTTATTACTCTGTGACAATATG